ACTCTTCTTAATCCAGGGTTTTACTAGGTGGCTGCTGAATGCACTGATAAATTATTTTCAGTTTGTTGACTGATACATTAGGACAGAATGGGTTTTAAAAGTTTGAATTTTCTCTCTTCAGCGCCTGCCTTGAAGCTAGTTCGTGACAATCATCACCTTAGGCCGGCAGAAATAATTTTAATTATACCAAAATTTATTTCTTTTGTATTTCTCTCAACCTTTAAATGATACATTTTCCTTCGTTTGCCAAAGCAAATTTTAAATACGTGACCTTCTCAATACATTGACAGAACCAACATTGTTACTTCTAGGCGACTTGAAACGCTTTTCGATTGAGTGCCATAAAACCACAACCATAGTTATCACTATGTCAATCAGAGCGAAGGAAAATATTACAAGGGGCTAATGAGAGCTCAAAGTGAAAACAAGCAAACTGCCCAAAGGGTGGGAAAACTTGTGTTACCGAGACGCGGTTGGTTTCAATTCTGCGTCTGATTGGTTGAGCGGGTTATGCTAGTTTTCCTGACCAATAACAGATCGTAGTGTAGTAAAAACACTGCAGTCCTGGATTACTTTTGAAACTTTGTACAAAATTAATAAATCGCAAAATACTAAGGTGGCTCGTCAAATTCTAAACTTTTCCGTGTCTTTCTTCCCCAACAACTGTAACCATCATTTTATTTAGCTTTCGATTCTTCGAGATACACACGAGGTCAATTATCATTGCCAACGTGACGTTTAGAGAATTCAAACATCTTTATCCCTAACCTGCATACAATACTCGTTTAACAAGACCTTGGGAAAATCATAAAGATAAACGTGTGAATGGGATGCATCAACACAGCAGATACCTTAGAACTTTTGTTGGATTTTTTTCCTTGTCTAGTGACTATGAATGTGAATTATCAAGAGGAAATGGTTAAGTTACGAAGCTAAACAAGTCAAGAATAAAACAAACCACTTTAACTTTTCACGGAGACACATTTGGTATCATTCTGCTCATTGATGAATGCATTTCAGGTTGACACTGAAGTTTCGTGAACCGCGGATTTATGCCATAAAATGTTAAGAGTGAAAAGGTATAATCTAAAACTAACCACCCATCAAATTGAACTAAGTTTCAAAGTAAGATCGAGTTAGTCCAAAAAGAGTTTCTTTCTTTAGACTGAAAGGTTTAAATGGATCACCTTTTTTTACTTAATTTTTAACTTACCAATATGCTGATCAATTCAAAGCTTCAACATCTTCCCCAGGCAACCCACAGGCATTTAACCGTCGTCCGTGCCCGGGGTGGGAATTTAAACATTGCCTTGGTGGGGTGGGGGTTTGAACTAGCAAGAATATGCATGTTTTCAATTTAAAATATGGAGGAGTTTTGAAGTAAAGAGTCCGCTTTCAAGAGCAAATGGCTCAGAGGAAAATGATTACATCGTAGAATGATGCCTGAGGTAATATCAAAAGGCGGCACCGAAAGCTAATACGCGCCTTTGCTAATTTAATTATGTTACATTCGTTGATCAATTGCAAACAAAGAACTATTCAAAACAATTCTTGTTCGAGTAGAGCATTTGAACGCAATTTAGGCTTCTATGACGAGAGTTGGAACCAATTAATCTTCTTGAGTTCAAATACTAAGGGCTTGGCGGGGGGAGGGGAGGGGGGTGAAGTTGAAGCTACGAATTGATTGACACATTACGTATTGCCTTGTAACAAGTATCTTAATAAGAGATCAGTTTTATAGCTCGAGTGTAAGGTAATTTTGTCTAAGATTGTAAACAGTCCTGTCAATGATTTAGAGTGTGGTAGAAACAGTAGTGTTACTCTACACATAAATAGAACTCTTCACACGTCTCGACTAATTTTGACGTTGATTGCAGGTAATCATACAACTACAACATTTATTCAGAAACGCGATGAATATTTCACAGGTTGAACTGAAGTTTGACAGCGGTTCTCTTTGAACTAAATTACAGCGGTTGCTATCGCGTCGTTTTTTGGTTTTCTTCTAAGTGGATGAAAAAAATATTAGCCGAACTCACAAAATTGTTTAAAAACTATTTAAAAGTCAAAATAACGAAATTATATAACTTACTTAAGTTCAGAGAAGACCATGCTTCGGTCACTTTACAGCTTGACTCAGTTTGCTTGCCGTTGTCAGTTGTAACCTCATTCGAGAATCGTTTCATACCGAATATTGAATTTTCAGGACCTAGCAGCATTGCAACTTAATCAGTCCAACGTTATGAGCATTTGGGACTTGTAAGACGACGATTTTTCTGACCAAAAACTGTTAGTTAGGGCGAGTAACTTTAAACCAAGCAGGTTAGCAAAATTCTGAGCACCACGTGTGAAGATACTGATTCAACTGAAATGAATAATCATTGAGTAGAAAGATATTTGCAATTCAAATCTAACATTCAATGAGTCTCACTATCAGTATTCAAAATGATTATGTAAGGATGTGATTTCAGCTGATGAAAGGTTTTCTTCCTGAATAAACCTGTTAGGCAAATAATTCGCCTTTCGCATCTTTACCTAAAATTTCCACCGACTTGTTTCGAGGTTGATCGAGGTTTAAATCTCGAAAAGTTCGCTTTTCTGAAAGATTCCGCAATACAAATAATGGTGCAGACGCAATACTAAGGGCACTTGGTAAATAACCACGCAAATTTTAATTGATAGGAACCCGTTAAATTGAACTTGTTTGAGTTGTTTTAGTGACACTTTGCTGAAGTAAGCTTTTCCGCATACAAGTCAAGACCACGCCCTTCTGAGCGTGTGAAACAGTACGCTTAAGAAAATCTAAGGTTTAAAGTGCAAAGTTTCTATCCACTTAGTTAATACATACAGTTGGCTTTTTAAAACTCCAACTCACAATAAACCCAAGTGTTTTATTCATTTCCATTCTAGTAATTTGTGTCAGTTTTCACCTCGACAAATGTATCACTTTTTTATTAACCTTGAAAGTTTGAGTTAATGTGCGTCAACCCTAATCCCCTTAGTAGACACAAACTTTTCAATAAGCTTCCACAAAATTAATCCCAACCCCTTAAACCAAAAGTATATTGACAACCTTTCTCAGTATAAGTCTATAATACTGAAGTAAATTTTAAGCAAATCAAGTACAAGTTCAGATCGATTACTCCGACTAAAAATGTGTGCGCATTTCAGAGCGTTGTTCAATTGAATGCTTATCGTAATCTGAGATTTCTTTGGCCTTGCTTTGTTTTAATTTGTTTGTTCTGAAAAGCTCTCGCCAGTCTCTCGCTACCTTTGTCCTGACAACCTCCTGTAGTTACTTACACTTTTTTTAATAACCCTCGTCGAGAGGTGCTCTCGAGTAAAACTCTAAAAAAGAACAAAAAAAACCGACACGTTACTTACCTAAAAGTTTATCAGTTTTAAATACTTAAATTTTGTAAAAAAGTGATCGGTTAAACGTATCCAATGACATCGATCTTCGTGTGTCTGTGCAACAAAATAGTACCATCGGTCTTAAACTTCTAAAGTGATAAAAATTTTCTTTCAATTTTGATTAAACTTAGAGTCCACTCAGTGACTGATACATCTTGTGCCTACTTGTAGGTTGAATCTATGTTTTTTTTTTTCCTTTTTGATTTCTTGATAGTTTTGGTTTTGGTTTTGTTTTTGTTTGTTTGTTTATTTTATGTTTCCTCACTCCAGAAAAGTATTACTCTAAAGTTTCACTCTATTTTCCACCCACTTTCTGGGTCAAAAGAAACCATTTACAATTCCATGAGAAAACCTTCTTAGTGCTTAACTGTCAATCATAGGGATCAGCGATCTGTGTCCACTTCGTACAAGAACCCAGTACCAGGCATCAGAACCCTGTTGTACGAGGTACTCTGCACAAAAACCCGCCATTTGTCAAACGACGTGGGCTTGATTTTATTTGCCCCTCCCGCTCCGATCATTGCGCATGCTTCAGGTCCAGTAAACATGTCCCCGGAGGCCTTGTCCACCAAAACGACTTCTTTCTTGTCCGAAATTTTTTCTGGCTTCGTGAACTCGTAAAACCCACGTCCTGTTTTGAAGGGAAGGTCGTTCTTCTCGACGAAAGAGCGAATGTCGCCGCGTTCGTCGACTTCCAGGATCTGGCGATGAAAAACGTATGAAGTGAGCTGTCTGAGCCACTTCAGCGTTACAATTGATCAGTTTAGAGGGACGTGTTACAATGTACTGTTCGCTACATTCAAAAGTTTGTTGAATTGAAATCTTCCCCCTCTTCTTGAACCAACAGACATAGTAAAATAAACTAGTTTGTGTTTACGGGCATGAAAGAGTTTTGGGCCAGACTCATTCGACCAATAAGAGAGTGCGTACTTTCTTAAATACCCTATAAATTTCTATCTAACACACCAATCGACCAATGAGAGCTCACGTCCTATCTTAGATATCCTGTTCTTTCATATGTAACGCACCGTGATGTCATTTACCTGAAATCGAGACGGATTGACCGGTTCCAGTCCCCCGTGATCACTTCCACCGGTGTAGGTACTGGTGCTCCTACCGGCTAGAGTGTCAAACAAGGCATGCAAGTTACGATTCAACCCAGAGCCCTTTGACCTTGACTTGACCTCTGCCTCATAAGCTTCCAGTTGCTCCACTCCCTGTTCTCGATAGCAAATGGCCGTTAGGAAATCGACGATGGAAGCGAATTGATCTAGCTTCAAGTGCCAACCACAGGTAAACTCAGCGATTTTACGATAGAAGGTGTCAGAGCCACCGTAGTTAAGGCACTGGACCGAGTAAATCCGCACTCCCATCTCATTGTAGAGTTTCTTAGCTTCCTCCTTCCAGTCAATTTTCAGTGTGTTCAAGTGGTACGAAGGGGGATGGGGTGAGGCGTCGCCTATTATCACTAACGAACGTTGGGAGTCTGGTGTCCAGGACAGCTCTTCACGAACCTTAGATAAGAACAAAAACACTCCATAAGAACCACACGCAACAGTAGGAAAGGGAAAAGGAAACTTTTTTCGGTCATAAATTTTTTTAAATACAAGAGTAAGACTAAATGCATTTGACTATTAATACATTAATTCCTTTCTGAACATTCAAAACTGCATTGTTTGACAGCTTTTAATTCTATGATCTCACATTTTATACCAGATTTACATCGTATGAAGTGAGTTTGATTTTAATGGAATAAAAAAGACTGGGAAATGATACAGAGGTAACCTATGCTTCAAGCCGTCAACCACAGATTTGCATTAAAGTTCGCGAATTTTGGAAGACGTCAGCAAAAGTTATCAGGACCAAACTCCAAAGGACTAAGTCTTAACACAGAGTTCACCCTTTCAATCCCAGGATCTCATCAGTAATTCTCCTTACTGTCTGCCATACAATTCTTATAATGTTAGTTTGGAGAATTTGGCGTTGCATCAACTAATAATCCCCTAATTGATATATTTCTTTGTACCCATCGCTTGTCTGCTTGATATTGTATCGAAGATATTGATATTGTAAGGAGAAATTCTGTCTTGGTCACTAACGGGAGTTAAAGAGCCGGTTATTTAAACAGAGCTTAGCCGTTGTTTAACGAAACCGCGTTCTAAGCTGCCTTCAATTTAGCCGAACCTTTCATCTGAACATTTCTTTCCGTGAACATTGTCAATAGAGCCGAAAGCTAACTGTGGAAGGATATTTATTTAATTAAATCTACCCTCTTATAGAGAAAGCCTGAGGCTCACTGCTTGCATAAACAGCAAAAGTAAAAAATTGTGTGGCCACAACTTAAAAGTAAGACGCTCCTTTTATTTATCCTCATGCCACTCTTCTCCTGTGTCCACCCCCCCCCTTAAATTCACTCATACCAGGTGCTTGAGGACGTGTCCAGATGATAAGATAAATTCCCAATCTGAAAATCACATTTATGCTTACCACTATTTTGCAAAACTACCCCACCCCCCCTTCTCTTAATCTGTCACATTCAAAACATAGATGAAAATTGGTGAAAGGATTTGATTGGTGTAGCAAAGAAGACAACTGCCATTATTTCATTTTCCTTTAAATGTCCCAATTAGATATATTCAATTGAAAAAAAAAAGTAAAAACATGATGACCAACTATAAAACTATCTTTGCCAAAAAAATGCCACTCACCTGTCTAAGAACAAGTTCATAGCATTCATCTGAATCATATCCACATGTTGATGATACATTCTTGATAAAGTTACATATTTTCTTTTTGTCTGTACTGAAGTCTACCCATTTTGTATCATAAGTTGATTCTTTATCTTGATAGTCACCATGAGCAAAGACAGCAATGCGAATCCCAGGAATTTCTCTGAAGAGGCGAGTGACTGTTTCTTCAACCCTCTTTCTGACCTGGAAAACCCAATAAATAAGTTTTGGAAGTTAAATTATTGGCAGAGCAAATAGGGAGTAGTATCATCTTTATTAAAAGTTTGGTAATAGAAAGCTTTGTTCTAGCATGACTGTTTGAGCAATTTTCCATTCCAGCTTTAAATCATCATGTGGTCGGTATAGAGATCTCTCTTGTGAATCAATTAGTGTTGTATGTTGAGAACATTTTTATAGCTCAGGCTATTGCATTAAGTTTGATTCCAGGGATTCCTCTTCTTCAAGTACCCTGGAAAGCATATGAAACTTCCAACATGCAAATATCCAGAAAACAAAAATTTGACATCCACAAATTTTTCAGTAATTCTGGAATCACTGACTGGACAAACATGTCTTATTTATTCAAGGACCTTTATGGAAATAAAATTGTAAACAAGGAATATAAGGTAGAGCCAAGGGTATTTTTCAGTTTCTTGGTTTTTTTGTATGACTGAAATTCTTTTCTCAATTTTTTAGCATTAGAGACTGTTAAGAATGAATTGGAGCAAAAGAATGTGTTTGCCAGCTGTACAATTTAAACCTTGAATTCCCAGAAGTGATTAACATGTAATTTCTCCCTATAGTATTTATACACTATCCACCCAAAAAGTAGTGAAATTATTCAAACTTATCAGGCACAAGACATTATCTTGATGGAACACCAAACTCCCGTAACCAATTTACAAAGAAATGTGTAGCAGCTAGAGGAGAGAATTAACAATCAGATCTTGGGAGTTAAAGGGTTAAAAGTAATTCAAAAAGAAAAAAAAGGGGCAAAATGAAGAACAGATGATAGGGGAGTTTAGAAAGAAGTTAACTTAAGGTAATATTTAGATAAAGCTACAATTTGGATCTCAGAAAAATTAGTTTAGGAGGGAAAGGCATCAAAAACAAGTAAAAACTGTACATTGCAAACCATTAACCGGCTTAGCTTAGCCAATGAGATTCCAGAATTTGGTACCTTGTATAAAGTTTGAATATTTAGGACTTAACCACAATTTTACAAGACACAGCTCTCTAGACAAGTAGTTCTTTGTCACCTGAGTGAGGCAGGGGTACATTGATCCTGTGGTATCAAATGAGAATACTATTTCTTTGACATCAGCTCCTCCTGATTCTGCACTTGCTGCTGCTGGTTTTGCTTTCTTAGCTGGTGATGATTCTTTATCTTCTTTCTTTACCTCAACTGTTGGCTTCTAAAAATGCACAATAACTCAAAGTTCACGGCTGAAAATCATTGAAGATTTTTTTACACTTTATTAAGTCATATACAAGCACTAGGGGAGCAGGGATTGGGTTGACTGCTGAGAGCAATTACTTCCCACTGCCACCAAATTCCTAAGCTTAGTTTTATGGATCAAGCCTAAATAAGAAAGGCAATCCCACATGAGACTTCACACTGACAACATCCACAAGGACAGTGGAATAGCAATCTTAGAAGCATGAGGGCTGCTGATATGGAAAAAAACAACAACAACTGACTGGAAGAGCTGTGCAACTATGGACCACAGAGGGAGCACTTAATGAAAATGGGCTATTAACAGCTGTGAAATAAAAGCCAATCAGAGCTGTACAGGATTGTTCATGAGATTACACAATCATATTCAGTTGACCTCATCACCCAAGGAAGACTCCCAGTATGTACGCCAATTAAAATATCACAATTGGCATGGGAGGTGATAACATGAAACAATCATTAGAAGTGTATTTACCACAATGACTAACTGCAACTTGTTTTATGCTATTACAGCCATACTTTACCCTTTACACCCTAACATCAGTATGCATGTTCTCCATACTGTTTTCTATACATTTCTTCAGTTGTACTCAAGGAGAATTTGTTTAACAATCAAGAGCTTTGTTGGTGATCATTTCCATTATTCTCAAGACCTTAATGAGTGATTCAAGGGTGAAATTGTAAGGGGAAATTAGATGCTAGTCATTCAGGGTTCGAAGGGTTAATAACTTAATGAAAATTTCAATAGTTTTATATTTAATCAAAATGCAGTGATGAAAATTGACACCTCTTCTGCTTTTTTGCGCTTTCCTCTGCCCACTCCTCGGCTTGTGCTGGGTTTCTCCTTGGCATCATCTGCAGAAATTGCTGCTGCTGGTTTTGCTGCCTCCACTTCTGACAAGACAACTCCACCTTCTCCTGTGTCATATAAGAACTCTGTATCTGGCATCAAGACACGGTTGTATGAGGTTGACTGCACAAACACATCAAAATCCTCCAATTTATCCTTGTCTAATTTAAATTTTGCTGTTTCCTTTCCAATCCCAAGTAATTCACGAACCTAAAAATATGAATGAAAAACTTCAATAGTTTAATACCTTTATCAAAGCATATATTTAATTTGATGATCATTTCCAATTTGGCAATAAATAGGCACTCATAAATTTTTCAAAGGTTTCTAATTCCATTTGAGCCTTTGAAAATGTTCTCTTACATACCTTATCTAACTTGTACTCGGAGCATAGATTCAACTTAATCTAAGTTGATCATACCAATCAAAGTTTTGTCAGCATTAAAAGTTGAAAGTTTCAGAGTATGTTTGTCCTGAAACTGGTTCAAAACTCAAGCTGGTAATCAATTCCCAAGCACTGCTAACATAAATTTAAAATCGAAGGCTCGTTTAAGAATTAAACAATTGTTTATGGAAATTTTAACAGCTGTGCACTATAACTTTGTTTCCATTTTCAGAAATTAACTTCCAGCAGAAAACAAAACTGATTTTGGTAGCGGGTCTAATTTTTTTTGCTGCAATATGTAACTGATAATACAAAAAGAACGGCGATCAAATCCTGTTTATAGGTGCAAAAGGAAGATAAACGTTGGCTCAATCGATTCATCTGCTTCGTTAATGGATAAAAATAACGCCGCAATAACGTTACCAAGATGCAACTCATATCAGTACCTGAAGTTATTTCAAAGTAATGAATTAATTTTACCTCGTCTCCAGAAGCCATAGTGTCGTCCGATTTTCGTCTCACGACAATCTCTTTGTGGAACTGAATCGTCTCCGGCTTTGTCAGTTGATAGAATCCTCGCCCAGTTGCAAATTTCAGCTTGTGTTTTTCCACGAAGTTTTTGATCGAGGTCCGCTCATTCACCTTCAATGTTTTGAAGCGCGAGGTGCTTATGACTTCGGTAGCAGCGACCGCTTTGGGCTTTCCTCTTTTAGGAGGCATTTTTTTGTTTAAAAATGGAAGGGAAATAAGATTTTCTTTGATGGAGTTCCGTGCAAATTAGCTGAACTGAAGACAAACAGATGCTATCATTTCGAACGAGGAACTTTCAAATTTAACTAGGGAGGGGTGCGATGTAGGTTTGTCATCCCCACGATGAAAGATTTTAAAGCGAAGGTTTTCTCAAGGTACTGTTATTATTAGAAATAAATTTCTTAAGCCCTAGAGAAAAGTAAAGTATACGGGAATCTTCCAAACTTAAAGAAAATTTTTCAAAAGTATAAATGTTTCCCACCCTCTCCACCCTAATCAAATTAATCTTTTGCGTAAATGGGGTGTGTTCGATGGATCAGCCAATCCGCATCGTCTTATATTTAACATCTTAGGTACCATTCCCCCGGGCAATTGGCAAGACTGCAAAGAATGAAACAAGACGTTTTCTTTCTTATTTTATTTGACGAAGAAGTGATTAGCTGTTCATGATACTTAGTTCAAATCAGCAACACTAACGAAAATAGAAAAGTTCTTTAATTTTTTTCCGTGGTACTGACCCCTAAAAATTAAATTGATCAATTGTCTTCGGGTTTCTTCCTATCTATTTAAAGATACTTCTTCGTAAGACTTCGAAAAAAAAACATCAAAACAAAACAAAAACCTTGAAATACCATAAGATACCTCCTTTACACGTAACTCCTCGTACTTATTGATGGTTGAATTTCCGCTTAGTTTCTACTTCAAAGTTGAATCGTCACAGTCATGAAATATTTCGGGACGATCGAATACATTTCTTTGGTGATCGGGACGATCACGATCGTTCAGATGTTTCCGAGTCCTGTTCAATCGCCGCGTTCATTTGGCGCTATTTGGGGAAGTGTTTTGATCTAATCGCCCCTACAACCTAGAATTTAATTTCCTCTCTTTGTTTTTATTTTTATTTATTTATTATTATTATTTTTTTTTGTGCCACAAAACGGAAACACATCCAACACTTGCCTCGTAGATCTCCGCCAGGGTTCCAAAACAAGTTTCTAGCACCATGAGATGGACCTAGTTAACGACCAGGCGAGCCACAAGTCTCCTATAGCTCAATAGTAGAGTGTCTGAAATACTGATCGGAAGGTCGTAGGTCCGACTCCTATTGAGAGCACTCGGAGTTCGTTTTTTTTTTCGAGTATGCCACTGCTATTCGTTGAATAACATATACGTGTAGTGAATGACATTAAACGCTGTCATCCCATCTCCCCCGAAACTCGTTCTACAATTAGGACTACAAACCTTCAGTGAATCTGGCAGATCTTCCACTAAAAAAAGTGCCCCTAGCTTTGCCGTCATGGCGATAGCAAACCCAGAAACTTTCTTACCGACAAGATCCACCTTTAGAGGGAAAATTTGGAAAAAGTTAGTTAACTTCATGATACTGAAATTTAGTAACTTTGCAATCTCCACCCTCTCCAAGCAACTGCGTTTTATTGTAATAACCAACACATTTCTACTCTCTTATTGGTATTCATATTCTCCTCACTGATCTCCTTACATTTCCTTTGTTACTGACAAGGAGAATTTGCTTGACAATCAGGAGCTTCCTAAGCTGGTGATCATTTCCTTTATTCTAACGACCTTTACATTCGATTCAAGGGTGATACCGTGAGGAGAATTTAGAAACCAGTCAATCTTGGGGGCTAAAGGGTTAAAGTCTCGAAAATTAGCCTGCAGATGTATCATTAGTTTGATTTCTTAAGACGCAATACTTTATCCTGCAAATTGTGCCAGGTATACTTGCCTTATCTTTGAAAACATTGATGTCCTTGTAATAATAATAAATAATAAATCTTTTAGCAAAGACATGGTCGTCTTTGCTAAACTCGTTTTGGTACCAGGTGCAGGCACGTGTGCGAATGTTGTACACACTAAGTGACGTGCTTTCAGGCTTTTAGAGCCAAGTTGTCTTACAAGAGTAAAAATTGCTCAAAAGCGAATGGTAAATTAGCAGGAAACCCGTAATTAGATCAACTTTGTCTGCGAAAATTCTCGTGTTTTTCTCTTCCCTGTTTTTGTTTCCTTTCACAGATTTCTATGACCGTTTCAAGTTTTTCTTCCACATAGCTTGCGTGACAGCATTTGACTCTTATGTTTTTCTTATGTAGGACTTGTTAATAATGACTCGACCTTCAGCGAGACAACAGGAAATGCTTTGTGTCTCAAATTGAAGAATGTCCATGAAAATGAACGCTTTGACAGTCCCATTTAAATGCGGTGGTTACAATTTTAAACAAAATACGAAAAGATGTACATTTAAAAAAAAGTAGTCCCCCAGTGAATCATACAGTGAATCATACAGTGTATCATGTTAACATGTTAACGTCGAGTCCATTACAACCACTCTGGAGGCTTTCGTGACACCTGAGCACACCAGAAAAACATATGTGGGTGTTGTTGAATATATTGAAATTAGTTTATGTATAGGTTAGATCATTTTCAAGGCGGTCAAAGCATACCATTTCATTTTCGCTGAGTCTAACTCAATTGCGACAAATTTAGCCATTTTCTAAGAAAAACGTAGTGGCTACCCACCTTAAACATGGATAAAAAACTGAAAGTTTCTCAATTTGAAAACAATCGTTGCTCTTAATTTTACAATTTTTCCGTCTTTTGAAGAGTTTACCACTAACAGAATTAGAATTTTAATTCAAGGAAAAAAAGAGCAAATATCTACACTGATTCAGTGATTTCATACCGTCATAACTTATTTTAATCACAGCAACGACAGACTGATTCCGTGTGCAAAATTGGTTTCCTCCAGGATAAACCAAACCAAGATATTTTCATTCAATACTTAATTAAATAAACAAATATTTGCATGTTTTAGTATGCAGGCGAGACAACACTGTCAGCGTAGGTACTTAATTAATAGAAAGACACAAAGAAAAAAACTCTGGACGTCAACTGGCCTGTATGTTTTTAAATCTGCTTGTTCCCCTTTCAAATTTTTCCAAGCACTTCGATGTACTAGAATTGTCGGATCCAACACCTCATGAACCCCATAAAAAAAATTAATAAAATTTATGTCGAATACCATCTAGATGGAAATATCAGACTTCTTATTATGCAAAAATTTTCTCCAGACGATAAACTACGTTAAAACCGAAATTTAGCGGTGCAAATCATTTTGTTGAGTACTTGAAGTTATATCCGGAATCAGTTGAAAATTTCGTTGATGGTCAAAATTAGAAAAACTTGACGATCATTCCAAATAAAATTCATAGTAAGTCAACCTTCGTTTTCATCACTAATCATACTCAAGTATATGTAAAACTTAATATGACGCTACCATGATAAAACTCGATTTCGAAGAGTACACTGTGAACTTCTGAAGGCAACAAGTGTTTTATTTTGAGATGTTCCTCCGAGAAACTGCGCGGTCTTGAGTCAATGATGACGCCAAGTATTCTCATGGAAAGAAATTATTACTGAGACTCTATCGAGCTTCCATAGAAAAACAATGTAAATTATCCACAACTTTGGTCAAAACCAACCGAAATTAATCGCAAAAAAAAAAGCTTCTCAAGATTACGATAGCGTGATCTGTAATATTCCTCGCATCAGAAGTGTTTTCCTGTAAAATTTTTAACACACAGAAACTAAAAATTACAAATCCTTACCTCAAGTCCTGTCGGTACTATCTCGAATTACCCTCGGCTGTTGGGATCGCGTTTGTATTTTCGCTACAATATGGAAAAACAACCTCTGCAGCTGTCACCTGGATCATTGCCGGAAGGCCGAGTCTAGGTTTCGGTTCATATCTATCCTTCTATCGACGATGTCGAAAGTGTGTATGCCTGCGTTGCTTGACGGTCTTCGGTATTCCTCTACAGGCATGAAAGCGAGGCAAACGTGAAAACGAGGCCGCTGACGAGAAAACATGCGACTTGGTTTGCTCTTGGTAGGTCTCTTTGCCCTCTGCTTCTCGTGGTGCGGAGCTTGATAGAAAATCATGAAGAATTGCTTTACTTCGAGAGCGCCTCTCAGTACTTATATATCATCATACCTTCACATTACCTTCAAGATTTTAAGGTCCGTTAACGCTCATGTTGCTACGATAAGAGCAATCAATGATTGAACGTGCCATGAACATGTTATTTGAAATTTTTACAGACAAAAATAATCCTGCACAAATGTGATAAGCCCATACCATCAAGCATTTAAGCTCAGTTAAGGTTGATGCTGTTATGATATGTTTAATTACCGATTGGATCAACACGTTAATTGAAATTTGTATAGATAAAAAAAAACCGTGCACAACTTTTATTAAACTATACCATCAAGCATTTGAGCTCGTGATGTTTATACTGTAATGATACGTACAGTTAGTGACTGAACTCGTAATTAACGTCTTACTTGAAATTGAAACTGATTCGTCTCTTATTTCAATAAAACAGGGAGAAAAGGCTCATATGTATTAGCTGTTCTTATGATCATATCGTTAAAGCCTTTTCAACACCTGGTTTATCTGTAGTTTTCATTCAACAGTCGCTCAATAGGTGGAAAGTTTATCTTGTTCATAATGTATTGTTCCCTAAGTATTTACAAAACTCGTGGTACAGTCAGATAAGAGCCTGCTCCAGGCGTTCAGTTGATATCGCGCCATTCACTATGTATCGCGCTTCCTTTTACTGACTGAATGCCCGGAACAGGCTATTAGAAATCACATGATTCAGCACTTCATTTTCAACGACAATTTTATTTTGATTCAAAAATTTCATTGGATTCAAATTTGATATTTTCAAGCGAAATTAAAACAATATTTCATTGCAAGTCCTGAGGCAAATTATTCATTTCCTTTCTCACTACTTCAGTGTGTTCATTATTTAGTTTTATAATTTTTTGTCACCACATAGTACCATGCTAACGCTAGTGATTACACCTCTTTAGAAATCATTTTTCGCAAGCTTAGTTTTTGGTTAATTCAATCTGTCGATTTCTTGAAATAGGTTCACAACGCTTTGAATTAAAGCTACAAATGCATCAGAAATCATACATAATTTTACATTTTTACGTGGGGAAACATTAATCATTTGCTGGTTCCATCCAACGTCTTCAACTTTTCGGTATTCCCGATTAAAAAAGAAAACTCATTTTTCTTCTTGTCAATATTAGTTCCTCGAGGAAAGATTGCTCAAAAGGCCATTAGTGTTCGTTGCTCATCCAAGATCATTTATTCAACTTAGTTTTCATTCCCCTTCAATAAAGGTATAAGTTAGGACCACAGTTTTGAGGTTTTATCAGTGCGCTCTTGACCTTAGTTTGAGGAAAAAACAGCAGAACTGTTTCAATGTTTTGGACGCAAGTATTTTAAGATAAAACCTTTTAAAGACAAACAGCTTCTACAAGTTTGGTGCATATTCGCTCCATGTAGGCCTGGGCATGTAAAGCATTGAACAATGTCTTTTCCAAGCCCTGCTGACTACGAGAAACAGAGCTGCCCCGGGAATGAAACTGAGTCAACGAATAGTTTGTTAACTTTTAAATAGTCCAACAATGAAAACAAATAAAATATTCCGATATCTATATAAATGATAAATAAACAAAAATAAACGACTAGATAAATACAAGGAAAAAATAAATTTGATGGAAAATGTCAGAGTGGAAGAATTAATACAAGAAAATAAAACCAGAAATGTAAAAAACAATTCCTAATATTTAAAACATTATCCTACTAATTTCAAAAGCGTTCAGTGAATTATTTCATTCATGATGCTTTCTTGTCGTTGTCTTCTTGAGTTTCCTTGCTGGCAGGATTCGTCGTTCCTTTTGGCATTTTAGAAGCAATTCTAAATAAAAGAAATAAAATGAAGTTCTTAGGCATTGTGCGCAATTCACCAACCCTGAGTCAAATGTCATTTCCAGTTTCCGTCGATCGAATGCACTTGAGCGCTTCTCGGCTGTGTCACAAAAACCAATAGGAAGAAAGGGAAATATCTTTAAGAGCCAATAAGAACTCGAAGTAAAGCGCGGGAAAACGAGGAGGACCAAGTCTTGATTGATTCTAGTTTTGGATCTGATCGGTTGAAAAAGTGGCGCAATTTTCCTGGACCAATTAAAGAGCGAAGTAAAGCAACCCCGGACTAAAATGAATTTCAAATTTCTCTAGCATAAAATAGTTTTCTTTTATTTACGAGCTTGAAAAACAGAAATACAATAAGTTGGAACAGTTTCAAAACTTGGAAAACTTGTTCATCGACACTTTTAGTTAGGAACTGTTTATGTGGCGGTACTCACTGATTATTCAATAGAATAATCAAAGTGCTCTGTGAGCAAACTCGTGAATTGACACATGATTTTTTAGATTATGTTCAATGTTATCTGGTTTAGGGAATTTTGTGGTTGATTGTCATATCTAGAGTACGAGCAGTAGTTCAGTGTTCGCTAATGTCGCAAAGAAACAAAGTAACGTTGGGATAAGAAGGCATTACAATTGAAATGATCAGCTATTACATTTTACAAGGTGGATGATGTCATGTGTTTTAAACGTCTATCATTTTTGTTTCTGGTTCAAAAGAAAAGGTTGGATGTAAATGTGGGTGAAAAGTGAAATTTACTGTCTTTCGTTGTAAATATTAGAAAATCAAGGCAATACTGTCTTAATGAAAACATTAACGATTCCTTCTTTATCAAATGAGACAAACGGGAACGAGTTTTGAGTGATATATCTATGCCAAGCCTGCCACCGTCATTTTGGATCTCCGCCTGGGTAGATTTAAGTCACGTGCTAGGCAACGTATAATCAATAACAAGATAGAATTTCATTTCAGGCCTATTTATCAATTTTGTGGTGTGTAACTTTCGCATTTTAGTACGTTGTATGTATGTTGAATCTTCAAATTGTCTTGAAACTTAAAAGAAAATTGTTCTTTAGAAATTCACTGAAAATCAGTAGCTAAAATTGTTTGTTTAGGTGTTATTTGATTTTCGTGTTAACTTGTTATTTCGTCAGTCGCCGGCATCTTTTGTTGCTTCACACAGGAAAAACACACGCGACGAAACGCAATGATCAATTTTGTCCTCAATCTCACGCTATAACAGAAAAAGCTGTGAACATCTGTAAACTCCGAGCTCTTAGCAGTAAGTGATATTTTCAATGAATCTTCGGATTGTTTTCAAGTTCAAGGATTGTAAATTCCAATTTTATGAAAAACGAAGGTTGTTCTGTTATTTCAGTGTGAATCCTTGCATGCCTGCCAGTCGCTGGCGCCGCTTGTTGAAACTAAAACGAAAAAAAAACTCTTTTAAGATTATCATTGGCTCCTTTTTCACCCCACCACTATTCTTAGCAACAAAGGTCGCCATTTCGTCTGTTTATTGCTCGCCAAAAACTATCAAATGCACTCAAAAGCCTAAAATCTAAAAAAAGTTTACAGGAATCGACCAATCGAGCGAGCGAGCGAGCGAGCGAATTCCATTCCCCACATCATATCTATAACTCGCTCTTGCGCATGCGCGCAATTCGCGAGTTAAAAATGATCACGCTATCAATGAAGGGACAAACTATTTCTCGTCGACTCTGTTGCTCGAGTTTCGGGCAGAGCTTAAAATCATCACCCTTTTTCAATTTGCGTTAATTTTACTTACTTTCCTGTTGCGTCTTCTACAGCACTTTTGATTTTACCCAAGCACGAATTGATCTCCGTCTAAAAAAATAGAATGAAATTGATAGAAGACACTTAAAAATCTAATTCATACTTTTCTCTCAGGACTGAAAAGATTCTTCATACCGCTAAAAAAATTCCTTAATCTGGCAAGCGCCTAAATATAACTCAAGGTTAAAACAAGGTCAAACTAGTTTTTTTGGAATATATTTGACTCATATCGGAATTTGAATTCAAATATTGTGTTTCTTTACGCCTGATATTGCAATTATGTAAAGAAACGAAATAAAGATTTCATCAATATTAAGTGATTATAATCTCTTGTCATAATATAGAAGCTGAATCATGAGTAGTCCCTCCTTTTTGGCGAAGTCTGTCGCGCAAGTAAATATATAACTCCAAAAAAAATTATTTTCGCATTCCGCGCAGCACTCTGAGAGCGACGCGCACGTAAACGAATTTTTTTTTTTTTTGCGGCTTTTGTTTTTAATATTTATTTAACTCGCGCGACGGACTTTGCCGGAAAGGAGGGATTGCTCACATTATAAACTGAAGTATATATTTGATACTTACTTCGTACATGTCGTAAATCTTTGGAATTGTAAAGGCTCCAATAAATGCTACAAAACAAAACGATGTAAGTTACAGAAATTTTATTCGAGTTTTGATGAGGTATGTGGGATTTTACTTATTCTGTTTTACTTCCTATTCTGATTGGTCTAGCATTTAGCATCCAGCATTTAGCATTGGTCTAGCATCCAACCCAATTTCGATTTATGATAGTCACTCGTGCTTTCGCGCGCTTGATGGCAGCTCTGCACGTTTACCCAGAGTTTTTCTTTTTCACCTTATGCTCTGATTGGCCAATGGTATTCCTCTTGCTCTGGTTTCATGATACTTTATCAAAATACGCTCCGCAAACATGAAAGTCCTTCGGGAATGAAAATGCTGACCCTTGTCTAGCTTGCAAGCAGGCATCTGTTATTAGCACTTTGGTAAAACCCTTTTTCTGGCCCTCGGGAAAATATGAGGGCAAGAGGTCTGCAAGTGGTCTATCGCTAATCAATAATGCACGACTCCCCGCAAACCTATCCCTGACTCATCTCAAGTCTTCCGCGAGAGGAGAAACGCGCGTCCTGCAGCGCTAATAATAGGGGCCTGGTAGAGAGCTAATTCTTGTTTAGCTTTCATACTGAAACCTTCGTAGTTGGTAATCTAACAATAAGTGATTCGTATGCTGTCTTCATATTTTTCCCAGGAAGGATTTCAGTCAACCTAACTGGGAGAAATTAAGTCTTTGAACTTACCCATGAATGTCAAAGTAATTCCACTGAACCACTGAGCCACGTAAGAGAGAACATACAAGGCTACTAGCAGCTAAGAAATTGAAAGAAAAAATTTGTCATTTTATGTTCAGCTTATTCCAAGGGAGTCATACGTCAAGTACCAACAGGGAACTTTGAACTGAACTCCATATTAGCTTGCCCAGAATGATCAACCTCAAGCAACTCTTAAGTCGAGTGAAATACAAATTTCCACAGTGATCGCATCTGTGTGAAAGAGTACACGCACATGCGTGTAGAGGATGACAAAAGATGAATTGAAATACACGCATTTGCGTATCAACCATTGCAGATGTGCAATTTTTCTACTGCACACGCGTAACTAAACGCACCGGAAGCGCGTGTAATCCCTACGAATTACACGCGCTTGACGCTCTTGTATGTGCTGCAGTACACGTAAGCGGTACTTTCCGTATGAGCTAAATACCAAAAAAAATCTAGAAAATATTTAACAAAGCCTCTACTTGTGCACTACAGAGCAATTTTTAACTGATCGAGTATCGACAGTAGTCTGCAAATTCTCAAACAATCAAATGCAAAGCCAAACCCAACCGCGTTCTCGTCACTCGAGTTTTCCCGCGCTCGAAGCAGTTTCCTATACTGCACGCAGGCCCTCTTATAAGCGCTGCAGAACGCACGCGTTTTTCTACCCGCTAACAATGCTAGTACCAGAAACCTAGTAGACCACTTACCGCCTTTCTCGCGGGCTATGAAACGCTCGTGTAAATGCTTGGGCAGTTTGCCCGTTTTCCTTTCTAATAAGCTCCCCGTGATATCATATTTCTGCTCTGATCGGCTAGCATACTGTATATTGTCTTGCATGACGGTGACAGATTGAGGTGCTCTCAGAACTAGAGGTTATGTTCGGAATTGCTATCATCACTCCTATTTTTTTGTCTCAAGACTCTCAACCGATACTCGTTCTACAAAAGTGAATACAAACCTTCAGTGAAGCTGGCAGATCATCCACTAAAAAGAGTGCTCTTAGCTTTGTCGTCATGGCTACAGCAAACCCAGAAACTTTCTCACCGACAAGATCCGCCTTATAAGGAGAAATTTGGAAAAAGAGAATTAACTTTATGATTCTGAAATTTAGTGACTTTGCAATCTCCACCCTCTCCAAGCAACTGCGTTCCTTCTTACTAACACTTTCTACCCTAATATTGGAATTCATCTTCTCCTCACTGTTCTCCTTACATTTCCTTTGCTACTGACAAGAGAATTTGCTTGATAATCAGGGGCTTCTTAAGTTGGTTATCATTTCCTTTATTCTCATGACCTTAATGTGTGATTCACAGGTGACATTGTGAGGAGAAATTCGAAGCAAATCAATCCTAATGGGTCAGCCTTCAGAAGTAACATTAGTTTGATTTCTTAAGATGTAATACTTTATCCAGCACATTGTGCCAGGTGTACTTGCCTTATCTTTGGAAACTTCTATGTCCCTAGATAAATACGCCCTAAGATGGAAAATTGGCGTAGAAGCTTAGGATTAAAATTTTTGTCTTGCTAATGCTTTCATGATAATTATAATTATATTTAATGAAGGAACCCAACTCGCCAATGTGGTTTTCAGTAAAGCATTGAGTACTTTATCTCGGAAAATGGTATGTTCACTGTTTGCACACACTTTGAAGCTAAGGGTAGGAATTGGGAAGCGTTTTAATCAGACGCGACTTCTCTCGTGCCTAAATATATAATTTGCAGGCATAACAGGCTGCAAAGGTACAAGCGCACGTGCGAACGTTGTATAGGCAAAGAGTTATAAAAAACTATACAAGCAAGCAAGTCGCAATGTTTGAAATACGTATAACTTTTTTTGATAATCCTCAAAACATTAGGGTTAATCAGCTGGAAGTCCGTAATTAGATAAGATTTGTCTGCGAAAATTCTCGTGTTTTCATTTTCCCTACTTTTCTTTGCTTTTACAGATTTCTATACACGTTTCAAGTTTTTCTTTTCGCATAGCTTTCGTGACAGCAAAAATGTTCTTCTGTTAAATTTGGCGCGGGAAAGTAACACATGGTCGCCCAAAATTTATCTCCTTGCGCATGCAATCACGTGTTCCCAGCTCTTATTCTCCACCAGCTACAGCATTACAGACTAAACATAATTTCTTACTTGAGAGGATGCTCAAATTCACTTCTGAGAAATGCAGATCTTGCAGTCATCAGCAGTCGCAAGGCGAGCATGGGAGCGAGGCAAACCAGTGCTATGTTGGTAAGAACGCTGACCACACTAAACTGTGTCATGCAGATCAGGAGGACAAACCCGCTGACAAATACAATTGCAGTCACTTTGACATCTCGCCATAATAAAATGTCCTTTACATCCATAGCCGGCTCGGGGGAACTAAAATGAACATCATAAAAAAGCGTTTTTAGTGCTAAAATTACTGATTCAAAGTATAGCAACCAAACTCCTTTGACATTAGGAAATCATAAAAGATATTTGATAATAGTATGTGAATACAAACTCCAAATGATTATGTTGAATAAGGAACTAGCCATTATTTAACGACGGAAAGGGGAGGGGGGAGTGGGTCAAAGGATTTTGGTTGTGTCATGTAAAATTTACCTGATCCCCCCATGAGGCTCTGTAATATTCTCAAGATCACCCCGACTGTCAGGGACACGAAAGGAAATGCTTTGTGTTCCAAATTGGAAAATGTTCATTAAAATGAACGCTTCGTCCCATTTCAATGCAGTGGTTGCAATTTTAAACAAAATTTAAACAGCAACTGGTGTTGACAACCGTGTCATGCGAAGGTATGCATTAAAAAGGGTGGTCCCCCTGTGAATCATACAGTGAATCATACAGTGCATCATATAAACGCCGTGTTCATTACAACCGCTCTGTCGGCTTAGCTCTTTCACCCCTGAGAGTGACAAGCTCTTAATTTAATTTCTCCTTACAACCTCACCGCTGAACCAAACGCAAAAGTCATGAGAATTAAAGTGGTGATCATCATCTTAAGAAGCTCTTGATTGTTAAACAAATTCTCCTCTTCAGCACCATAGGAAATGCATAAAGAACAGTATGGAGAATAAGCATACTGATGTTAAGGTGTGAAGCGCTAAGACACTCTAACATGTTAACGTCGACTCCATTATAACCACTCTAAAGGCTTTCATAACACTTGAGCACACCAGACAAACATATGCGGGTGTTACTCAATATATTCAAATTAGTCTATGTGTAAGTTAGATCATTTTCAAGGCGGAGCCGACCAAATTGTTTCATTTACTAACTCTAACTCATTATCGACAAATTTTGCCATTGTCTAAGAAAAAGATACAGTGCCTATCCCTCCTTAAAGACAGATAATAAACTGAAAGTTTCGCAATTTGAAAACAACTGTTCCTCTCAATTTAGTAATTTTTCCGTCTTTTGAAGGGTCTATCACTGACAGAATTTGCATTTTAATTCAAGGAAAAAAAGAGCAAATATCTACACCGATTCAGTGTTTCATACCTTCATAACTTATTTTGACTACAGCAACTACAGACTGATTCCGTGTGAAAAATTTGTTTCTTCCACAACAAAGCAAAGATATTTCCATTCAATACTTAATTAAGTAACCAAATGTTTTCATGTTTCAGCGTGCGGGCGAGACAACACACTCAGCCTAAGTACTTGATAGAAATACACAACGCAAAAAATCTGGGCGTCAACTGGCCTGGATGTTCTTAAATATGCTTGTTCCGTTTTCAAATTTTTCCATGCATTTCGATGTAATGAAATATATTCGTGTTACTTCGTGAACCCCATAAAATATTAAAAAAACATTTATATCGCATACTCCTCGAGATGGTAATATCAGACTTCGTATTATGCAAAACTTTACACCAAACGATAAACTACATCATAACCGAAATTTAGAGGGGCAAATTATTTTGCTGAGAACTTGAAGTTATGTCGGAGTCATTTGAAAATTTCGTTTACGGTAAAAAAGAGAAAAACTTGAAGATCATTCCAAACGAAATTCATCGTAAGTCAGCCTTCGTTTTGATCACCGATCACACCCAAGTAAAACTTCATATGACATTTACATCGATTTCGAAGACTGCACTGTGAACTTCTGTAGGCGAAACACGCTTTATTTTAGTGTTTCTCCGAAGAACTGCACAGTCTTGAATCGATGATAACGCCAGATATTCTCAAGGAGAGGAATTGCTACTGAGAATCGATCGAATTTCCATAGAATTACGATGTAAATGATCAAGGACTTTGGTAGAAATCAACCGAAATTAATCGCAGAAAAAACAAAGCTTCCCACGATTTCAATAGCGTGATCTGCAATATTCCTCGCATCAAAAGTGTTTCTCCGTAAAATTCTCAACACACAGAAACTAAAAATTACAGATCCTTACCTCAAATCCAGTTGGCACAATCTCGAATTATCCTCGGCTGTTGGGATCGTGTTTGTACTTCGGCTACAATATGGAAATCCAATCTTTGCAGCTGTCACCTGGATCATTAAATATTCACTGCCCTCTCAGCTTCCGCTAGTTCACAGATAAGATCACAACCGAACAATCGCTAAGCAATATTGATATGCTGTAATCTAAAATAATCTATTTTGGACAGTAAAAGAAAACTGATGACACGTTAAAAGGGAACACAATAGGAAATTTAAAAAAGATATGTAAAAGACAACTTAAAATGCCTTAACCTGCCCTTCCTTCAAATAAGGAACGATAAAAAGGGTTTTTTGACAAGTAACTGAAACAATTATATAACACACCGCTTTTAATACTTAAAAAGTTTATTTTTAAATGATGTAAGTAAAGGTAAACACAGATTGGGTTAATTAGAGTACAATTTGAGCTTTTTTGC